GGTGTGGTTGAATTGACAACTCAGCTGCTAATACTTGAGAATATTCTTTGGCTCCCCTTGTGTCGAATCAAATACTCTACCCTCGAAAACTGTTGCGATCCCCTATTCTTGTGAGTTATCATTCACTAGGCTTTGTGTGATTCTCTTATTGGTTCGATAACCTTGGTTCTCACTGAGGAAAATCATTATCAGCTACTACATTGCTTCACTCTTCCTCCTCGAGGTAAATCCCAACACGGCTCACAAGTAGCACAGGCCGCCCCGACGAGGAGCATGGCGGCAAGGGCATCATTGCCGACGTGGATGACGTCGCGTCGTACCGCGCCTCCTATGCCTGCGGCCGCGCCATCCACCGGCAACGCGCACGTAATTGCGCCCTGCCGACGGAGAAAGAAGCCGATTGCACGAAGATCGATGAGTTCGTGGCCAGCGCGTCCGCATTCGCCGCCAACATCGAGGGAAAAGTAGAACACGGGAGTCTGCCGCCGCTTGAGTCCCAGAAAGGCCACCGCCGGCACATCACCGGCTTGCACAACCAGTGACTTGCCCGGTTCTGCAGTGCAGACCATCATCGACCCCCATCTGGGCTCCATGAAAGCGGAGGCGCCCCCCCCTTTCCCGTACGGCTGAAGCATCAGCCGATGGTTTTACTTCGATGAACGGCGGGAAAGCGAGCCACCCTTTTGCGCTGAAGCATATACCTTCGGGGCTCTCGGCTGTCCGGTGAGCGAGCTGCCGGACATGGGAAGACAAAGGGATCCCGCGCGGTCAGCCCTATACTAATCTAGTGTATCATGTCATGGGGGTGAAGCTCCGCGCGACCGTACGCGCACATAATTTTACCGTTTTAGTTAAAATATATTGAAAATATAAACTTTTTTGTCTAGTTTGTATAAATTCCGTCATGTTTATATGAAATTCGTCCATGTTTGCATGAATTTCATCCGGTTTGTTGAAAAGTGTTTGACAATGTTTGCGGCTACGGTCGGATGGCGGCCTCTCCCATCCGTGTCCGCGAACGGATGTGGGAGAAAATTTGCGGGCCGCCATTGGAGATGCCCAAATTATATAGGCATGTGAAACAAAATATTACATAAACATATTTGGGAAGTAACAAAAATGGATTATATATGAAATTACATGATTTTTTATGAAAGAAAACAAGGAATTGAAAAGGAACAAAAAATAAAACCACTAGAAAATATAAAAAAGAAATATAAAAAGAAGTAGAGAGAAAAAAGGGAGCTCCTGGACATGTTCTTTTTCCCACTAATCAAACGATCTAAAAAAACTAGGATTCTTTTTTTTCAGGAAAAAAAACTAAGATTCAAATCCACATACTCCATTTCTTCTCTGTAAGGTAGTATTGTGAGCTCGGGCTCACATCGATGTTTTTTACACGCATGCAAATTTTCACGATAGAATCACATTTGTAGATGTGTGGGGAAAAACAAAATTGATGCTCCGAGATGCTTCAATATCGTGTGAAACCGTCGGTGCGCGAAATCAAACGATGCACTCATCACGCGCCTACTTTGAGACCAAATGGTCTGTGTGTGGACCCTCACCACCTTCATCGGTCTTCTCGAGTGCCGCGTGGGACCTGCTCGGCAGCACTCACCACCTTCGTCCCACCGTCCACGCAGACGCAGCAACGGTGCATCGTGCAGCAGCTAGCTTTTTACAAAGGCAGCAGCTCGCTTAATTAGCAAGGAGCTAAGCTAGCTTTTGACAGGTCCCATCGTCACGCGCCTTCACAGTTCGGCAGCGCTGCAGAAGTGTGCTCCCCTCCATTATTGGTGCCCAGCGCCATTGCTCCTCTTCCTCCGCCACCAAACACCAATCATTCAGCTGCTTCTTCTCTTTAGCCAACCTAGCTTCTTCACCAGAGAGCAGATCCAGAGTCAAGGCGGCGAAGGGGAGAGATGGCGGGGGTGGGCGTTGGGACGGGGGCGATGAACTCCCTCCTCGGCAAGCTCACCGCCTTGCTCAGCGACGAGTACAATCTTCTCAAGCGGGTCCGCAAGGAGATCCAGTTCCTTGAGCGCGAGCTCAGCGGCATGCGAGTCTTGCTGGAGAGACTAGCGGACATGGAGGAGAAACTCGATGGCCTGGCAAAGGGCTGGAGAGACAGGGTGCGCGATCTTAGCTACGACATAGAAGACTGCATCGACCGCTTCATGGACCGCCTTGGAAGCGGAGATGCCAAGCCAAAGTTCATGAAGAGGACGGCGCGCCGGCTCAAGACTCTGTGGGCGCGCCATGACATCGCGACCCAGATCAAAGAGCTCAAAACTCGCGTCATGGAGGAAAGCGAGCGCCGTGACAGGTACCAGCTTCCTACCTACTCTTGCAGCTGTATTTCTGGATGCAACGGTGAGATTAATAAAGTTTCGTTTGTTCAAAAATGATACTAGGTACTCCCTCCGTAAACTAATATAAGAGCGTTTAGATCACTAAAATAGTGATCTAAACGCTCTTATATTAGTTTACAGAGGGAGTACAAGCTTGACGAGAGTTACTACAGTGCAACGAAGACGGTGGAGATAGACCCGCGGATAACTGCCATCCACGAGGAGGTCAAGGGCTTGGTGGCAATGGACGGCCCAATGAAGCACGTCATTGCCTTGCTGATGGATGAGAGTAAGGAGTTGAAAGTGGTGCCGATTGTCGGATCAGGAGGGTTGGGGAAGACAACCTTGGCCATGGAGGTCTATCGCAAGATTGGATTAGGAGGAGACTTCCAGTGCCAAGCTTGTGTGTCAGTGTCGCGCACACTTGAATGGTGAAGCTCCTGAAAGATATCTTGTCTCAGACCGATAAAGATGCATACAAAGAATGTCAGAGTTGGGAAAAGGAACAACTAATCCGTGAAATCAAACATATCTTGACAGGAAAGAGGTACGGAGTATATAGATGATTTGCTTTAAAAAAATTTATCCCCCCTCTTTATACATGCACCTAGAATTAATATATTTCATATATTTGGACTATTGGAACAATTATTATTATTTAAACTTAGCTAGTTTGAACCAGGCTAGATTAAATGGTCATCCCTAGTTGTCTTGAGTATGTTTAGTTCCTTGAACATATATATTGTTTTCGCATTACCTCAAACTAGCCTACCGATTGACTGTTGGTCGTAAACACACATTCAGTAAATACTTTTAATCTTACATTTTAGCTTCACAAAACAGGCATACATAAAAAAAAGTCCACATTCAACCCTCCATGTAATGATAGCTGATTTACTTCGCAAGACTAGACACTAGAGCTAGACAGCTGTGAATGCAGGAATAGTGCAAGCAAATCAGAAACGGGGCTCTGCTACATTATGAACCCTTCCTATAGTTGTCCAACTAACAAAATGAATTGCTATTTAACCCAAGCATCCATGTTGTATCCTTAGAATCCTAGAAATACCCACCCAACTACTTGTAGAAATTTCAGAGATTCAGATAGGCTGACTTATAGAAATCAGCACCAAGGAATGAAACTATTTATCGCGTACAAAGATTCTGAAGGAAGACTGCCCTGTTTTTTCCTCCAAAAGATTGCTTTCACATTTTCTCACGGAATCCTGGAACACTCTTTCTCCATAAAAAAAACTTCCTTAAAATCTTCTTAACCAGAACCAAGAAACATGTGTGCAATCTTTGTGTGCCATGCCACGAGATAAATGGATGACGATAGAAAATAACCACCACCGGAATAAATCTTGAAACCACCATAACCATTTGCTCAATGGTATCGATCCAAGCCATGTAAACATAGCAATTTGAGACAGAATGAGGCCAGGAAACCATTAAAATAGAGTATACCTTTTAACGTCACCTAAATGTGCACCAGAAAATGCAATTGAAACTTTACTCATTCCCTTTAACGAAGATAAAATAAGTAACAGTAAATGCACCTACGCAAGATATCAAATTAAAAAGGTGTGAAAGAAATGAGTTCCGTAAACCAACCAAACATTCTTTACTAAGCTAGCAAAAACATGGCTGCAGCTAGTACGCTTGTCTGTCTCAATCTGAATGATCTTAATGACCCGCTGAGAGTTGTAATCAATTGCATGCATGGAAATAAACTTTATACTACATACTTTCAGTGTTTCTCTTTCATTAAAGAAAATACACAAATATATCAGCTGTAGCCTATAGATGGTCTCAGCTTACAATGACATTGAGCAGGAGAGAACTAGCAAGTATACCAAATAAAAATAAAAACACACAAATACTAGTAACGTTCAAGCACCTTGTACATTCGCAATTTTCGACTTTAATCTTTGGCTTGGGCACCACCTCCTCAATCCTTGTTTCCTCCATAGTGGCTGATAAAGCATTCCATTGCCACAGGGCAGTAGGGCTCCCCGTGCACACAACGATAGCAGGGAGAACAGAGAAAACGTGGATAAAATACAAGCCTACAAATATCTTATCTTTATATAATGAATCATCAATTAGATGCCATGTTGGGTGGGCTGGACGAACACGCACCCGCCGGGTGGTTAGGGTCTACTAAATTCCAGGGTTAAGGATTTGTGGTTTAAACGGTGCTAAATTCCAAGGTTAGAACTTAAAGTAGAATTGATCTTTCTTCTACCAATGGAAAGTCGTTTATCCCTTGATATGATTTAGATACTATCGTTTTCACTTACCATGAGGATGCAGTGAGATACTTCTAATACGTAAGTTTGATTGATACAAAAAAGGTACTGCAAAATTAAGTGTGCAACATTTATGCATCTGTTTGCCATTATCAAATTAATTGCTAGCACAAGTCTCACGGTTAACGAGAATGCTTAACAAGGCACACTACTCAATGCAGGTATTTCATTGTTATTGATGACGTATGGAAAGAACAAGATTGGAAATTGGTCAAGGCAGCATTTCCTGAGAATAATAATGGTAGCAGAATAATTGCTACTACACGCATTACAGGTGTAGCTAAGCTATGTTGTTCCGTCTCAGATGAGCAACCCTATCAAATGGCACCTCTAGATGATGCTGATTCTCGAAGATTGTTCTTTAAGAGAATTTTCTACTCAAATGATTCATGTCCTTGTGAACTGGAAGAAGTTTCTGCTAGGATTTAAAAAAAAATGTGGCGGACTGCCACTGGCTATAATTACATTTGCAAGTTTGCTTGCCAGTAAGGCACATAACAAGGATGAATGGGAGAGACTGCAAGATTCCATTGGTACTGGTTCTTCGTTTGATAATGATGCGAACTTAAAAGGGATGAAAGATATATTGTTACATAGTTACCTGGATCTTCCCCACCACTTGAAGACTTGTTTATTATACTTGTGTATATATCCAGAGGACTCCATGATCAATATTAAACTGTTGAAATGGAAATGGATAGCGGAAGGATTCATTGCTACACAATGGGGAAGTTTGGATCAAGTAGCACATAACTGTTTTAATGAGCTCGTCAATAGAAATATGATTCATCCAGTTTATGGTAATTATGGCAGTTCAGTGAAATATTGTAGGGTCCATGATATGGTGCTTGACCTTATTATATCTTTATCGGATGAGGAGAATTTTGCCACTGTCTTAAATGGGCGTATATGCAATTCTTTCCCAAATAAGATACGTCGTCTGTCCATGCAATCTAGTGGGAAAGGGCATAAAGGGGCGGTTGATGCAATTACAGAAACCACGGTACATGTTCGCTCACTGACTGTGTTTATGCTGCATAAGCAGATACCCCATCTCGTGGACTTCCATGCTTTGAGGGTGTTGGATCTTGAAGAATGTTATTGGTTGGAAAACAAGCATGTAAAACACATAGGAAGTTCATGCCAGCTGAGGTATTTGAGAATTGGCGGTTTTAAAATTACTGAGCTTCCTGGTGAAATCGGAAAGCTGCAGCACTTGGAGACTCTGGATTTGAGAGACTGTGATTCACTTCTAAGACTGCCATCAACCGTGGCGGAGTTGCGGAAATTGCTGCGTCTATTTGTCAGCAGGAACACACAATTACCTGCAGGTGGGTTCCGGAGTCTGCAGGCCTTGGAGGAGTTAAGCTTCCAGGAAACTGACGACCCAGTGAGATTTGCGGAGGAAGTAAATGAGTCGGGCAAATGCAACCTTCGCTATCTTCGTACTGGAGGAGAGATAGCCAAGCGTCTGTTCTGTAGCCCATGCTGCACATACCCGTGCCTCCAAGTTCTTAAAATTGAGTCAATTTTTAGAGTGGAAATGGTTCCCAGGGGAATGGCCTCCCTCAAGAATCTCGTGAAACTATGCATATGGGTCAAGGAATTTGATAAGGAGGGTCTCCAAGTTCTCATGGGCATGCCTTCTCTGGCCCATCTGGAGCATGGCATAATAGGAGGGGCCAATGAAAAGCTGATCATCGGTACTGATGGATTCAAACTGCTAAAGGTCTTCTACTTCCACTATTTACGCCCCCGTTTTGCTGTTGAAGTGAAACCAACGGGTGGACTGCGGCTAACATTTGCACCAGGTGCTATGCAAGCACTCCATTATCTCCGACTTGACTTGAACCCAATGTTTGTGGCGTCCGACTTTTTTGAAGACTTGGGTGTCGAGCATCTTCCAGGCCTTGCACAGCTCGAGGTCGAAATCAGTTGTTTCAGAGCAGCTCCACGCAGGGTGAAGGCTCTTGAGTGTTCCGTTGAAAAAGCAAACAACTTGCTCCCCAAGTGCAGAATCCGCGTCAGCAGAGCCCTTGAAGATTACATGTTGAAGGATGACAAGGAGTGGGAAGAGGTCGTCGCAAACAGAATCTCGGGCGAAGAGAGGAGACCAGAAGAATGAGAGAGTGACCACCAAGAACTTGCCACCTAGCTTAATCCTGGTAAGTCAAATGATGGTGATTTTTTTTACTCACTCCTAGGAGCAGCAATTTTTTATAATATGTCCTACACTCATCTTGAACAGCAGTTCGTGGATCTGGAGAATCCACGAACAGCAATCAAGTAATGCATCTGGAGAATCCAGTCCTGCTACTTACTGCAAAGTCCGCAACTCAACTGGCCGGCCATCAGCATTTGGTTCCAAAAGCGACTCTGTTGAGCGGATCACATATATTCAAGGTGATTTATCTGTAGTGTGAGCTAGTATTTTTTTCTTCCTAAATCTATCGCCAGCCTCCGCCGTCTTGCTGGGTTGCTTGAGTTAGAACAGACATTAGTAGTAGATGTGTTTTTAATTCGCTGTTGGGGAAGCTTGAGTTGTGTAGCACCCTGAGTTCCATTTAACTCTTGTGGTGGCAAATCTATGTTGTTGTTCAATAATTGAAGTAAGCTCGGCTCTGCACTGGGACTGAACATGCTACTCTTGTCCCCTTGACTGACGCTGTAACATTCAAGCAAACTTATTTTTCTCTATCAGAACTAGTGCAGGCTGTATCACCTATTTCTCTCGATTAATTGTGGTCAGTAATGTATGGCTGTATAACCTGCTTGCATGTTGCAAAAAGGAAGGTTGGTTGGTTATTCAGTCAAGGTACTCCAAGCCTAGCTAACATGCCGTGCCTGAGCTTAAACTATCGATCTTGTGGTAAATCAGACACTAATGCCGATTTTGTGAGTCCATGCATGTTCTTGTAATTTCAACTGAATCTGGGTGGCCATACACTAGGTGTCAGACACCCAAACTTGATGAACATGTCATCTGTTCAGAGGCAAGCAACATCAGGCACGGTTGAAATTCTGCTTCTCTCAACTTGTCACATCTCGCTTCCTCTTCCTCTTTCTTTCCATCTCCATTACAGCATGACTCTTAATACTGACGGCAGGGAGTACAGACACATAATAAAATTCGGTTACTTGTGACTTGAGCATGAGTCTGCGACTTCAGATACCGTCCCAGCCAAGATGAGCTTTTACTGATTTCCAGGAGTACATCTTCATCACCATCGTCTGCCTGGAGTTTTGCATTCTATCTACAGTTGCTAATGGCGATGACTGCTGACTTTCTTATCGCCAGCCTTTATGCTGTTCGGGAAATTGAGCTCGTCCCTTTCAAGAAACTATATATCGCCAGCCTTTGCCAAGATCAGCTTTCGTGGCGACTAATACATTGTACGCGCTGACCCTCAAGTGTTGGTTAATAGACTAGAGCTAGGCAGTGAATGAAAGAATCATGCAAACAAACCTAGAAAATATACTGATGGAAATTTCACTAAAGTGATAGTGCTAGACTGCTTCATATCAATCCTAGAAATATTCACCAAAGTACTTACGGAAATTTCAGAGATTCTGACAGATCAACTTACAGCACGACTCCGACTGACTCCTATAAATTCTCTTCTCTGAACTTGCCACATCTTGCTTCCTCTCTATCTCCGTTCCAGCAGGACTCCAAAACTGACGGCAGGGAGTACAAACTTCATAACTGACCCCAGAGGTCCTCCTGATGATACGAAGCCTGCAAACACAACAAGGCAAAAACCATTTGTCCATTCTGGGTTAACAACTGCTGCAATCTACCTCTAAGAAATGGACTGCACACAGGCAATGATAAAAAGAAAAAAGGAGTCGTCTCCACTCGACAATACCAGCAGTAGTATTTGTTGAGCCACACTACTGAAGGATCATATATTGAACAGATTAAACCCCACAAAAACAGCAATGATATATTACCAATGCATGTCCTGTCCCCCTTTGTCCATGAATACCAGTGCGTGTGGACATTGGTTGACTCATTGGAGTAAGAACACGACTGAAACACCCAACACCACCTCCCTCCCTCCATCTCATGCACCTGATTACCGTAAACTTTGTCAGATGTTCAGTGATTCGTACAAACACACCTTGACGGATGGTACAGAGATGAAACACTAGCAGCAGCGGAAAAACAGAACTGAAGGCAAAAAAAAGGAGGGAGCACAACCAAAGATTGAAGATTTACCCTGTACACCGGTTGCAACCGTTGCTTTCGCGTACATCACCCTCTCCATGCACATCCTGGAGGAGTCGCAACTGGTCTTTCCACCCTGCTTCTATCTCCAGGAAAGCGAGACACTTTGAAACAGAAAAAAATGAAATGCGACGCAGACACACTTGAAAAATTCAGTTAAAAAACAACACAACTCTTCCAGGCATGGAAACACAAACGGGACCCCGCCGAAAATGACCAGGAACCCGCCCAACTGAACCGAGGAGATCCGGTTCAAAAGAACCACAGCCCCTCGTGCTGGGTTAGGTGACCGGGCGGCCAGGATAACTGACTGATGGCGAATTCAAAATCAGCTGACTATAAAATAATAAAAGTGCATTCGGGATTTCATTAAAGCAAGTGGTAATTACACAAATATATTAGCTGGAGCTTGTAGGTGCTACCAGCTTACAATATGACACCAATCAGGAGAGAAAATCCAAGCAACTAAACAGGACACACGAATCCTAGTAACCCTCTAACATCTTATACATCACAAGTTTGGACTGGAATCTTGAGCTGCTGCACAACCTCCTAAATCCTGGTATGCTCCAGAGTGCGCAAGAAAGCATTCCATTGCTGCAGTAAGTAGATCATTTTGTAGAGATCACAACGGTGAGATAACCATAGACAGGCAAACAAGGGAAGCCGGCTGCGACACGATCTCTGGAAAGACTACCTAACACAACCGTCTCAAGTGTCAACATGAGGACATGTCAAAGGGATCAGCCTCAGAAAAACCATGGTATTTGAAGCTCTTCTTTGTATCCCATTTTAGTTCAATCTGTGCATCTCGAGAAGCTCTATTCTCCACTTGCAACCGTTTACGCTGAAAACGCATCCATTTGCTGTTGCAGCGGTTGACAACTCCAATTTCCATTTCCTTAAGCACTTTTGCATTCAAAACAAAGAACTGGGCAAAGTGAATAACTTGTGTCCGGTTACCATCGTAATTCTTCAATACCACTTTTTTTAGATGGAGTTCTAGGCATTCAATTGGATCCAGTGGGTCATACTTGCGCACATTATTCATATCCTCCTGTGGGTGCGACTGCAGACAGAAGAATGAAATAATATAAAGGCAGTCACTAAAGAACTGAATTAGTAACACATACAGAACAGTTCAGCAAGTCGTGATTAAGTCTAACTCAATGTTGATTTTCATATTTAAAGACAGAAGAAGTTTGTATACTCACAATGACGTATAGCCTCTCTAAGAAAGTGAAGCACTTGAGTAGGCCAACAATTGCATCCAGATTGGGACCAATAGAGTCAACAACCAAAATCTTCACTTTATGCATTATGGTTGTCAAGCTGACATCAATTGTTTTCTGGAGGAAAATAAAACAAGTGTGAATAAGAATGATAGCTTGTAGTATATAGGAATGTCGAATGCGCGATTGGCCTTACGGCTACCTGGAGAACTGTGGTTCCAGGCTTGAGTGTAGATATGCCATGAGACAACAACCCCAATAGCTCCAGTTTAGGTGCCCCGGTTATCCGGATGGTCGCCGGACCAATGTGTGAATCATGTAGTATTAATCTCTCAAGGCATGGGACGTCCTGGACGAGCAGCTCTTGGCAAGTGACGATACCTTGTTTGTCCCGATGGGGAGAGAAGCTGAAGCGCCTAACCGTCGGGGAGCTGATGCAGAGGCGACCGATGCCGATGCTTCGGTCCAGCGAAAGGCTTTCCAAGGCAATGCAGCCAGAGAGCATGCCGTGGAGAGAGTCCTCCGAGATGCTGACGCGGCACAGGGTGAGCTGCTTGAGGCGCGGAAACTTCGGGGACGCGGTCAACGCGGGGAACTCGCAGCTGCCGAACTTGGCCGCGCGGAGCGTCGGCGCGAAGCAGAGCGCGGACGGCGGCATCGGGTGGCATGCGTCCCCGTGCACTCTGGTGTAGGCGATTTCGAGATCCTGCAGGCGGGCGAGCGACCCGGCGCGGAGCCAGCGGTCGATCTGGCCCAGTGGGAAGGCCTGGCGGAGCGAGAACCGGCGGGCGGGGCCGGGGTGGTCGGAGAGGATCCTGGAGACGACGGCGACGTGCTTGCGGGCGTCGCCCGCGCAGAAGCGGCGGTCGATCGACAGGTTGAGCGGCGCCGCGGACGAGCGCCAGAGGGGGCGCCACCGGCGCGAGAGGACCTGCGTGCGCGCGCCGTCCTTGGTGGGGAGGAGCGAGACGACGGCGCCGAGGACGTCGTCGGGGAGGTGGCTGATGAGATCGTCGACGCTTCTCTGTTGCTCCCGGAGGCCGGGACTCCACAACGGCACTTGCCGGTCGTCGGATCGGCGGCTCGCCAACGCGTGCGCTCCGGGGA